ACAGGTCTCTGGAAGGTAAAACAAAGGCTGTCAAAACTGTGAAAATCCGTAAAAATCCAAAAACGCGTTTTTGGCCAAAATAGCTCAAGCCGGAAAAAGCTACGAAACCCTGCAAATACCAGTGAATTCGTCCAAGGGCACAAAAACAGAGCTCTTAAACAATCAAGGAAAAGCAGACTTCCAGAAAACGTACCAACGGCCAAATGTACTGCAAATACCACTACTTTAGGCTGCTTCGACAACAAGAATGCAAAAAAAGATTTTTTTAAAAATCCCGACTGGCAACTGGAAGAGGAAAAACAAGCACGTAACAGATTATGTACAGAGGATATGCTGTAAATAGCAATGAAAGTATGCATGGCGGCTGTCATACTCAGACAAAGAAGCACACAAAACAGAGTCGACAAATACCAAAAGTACGCCTAGTAGTAGTAATAGTAGTAGTAGTAGTAGTAGCAGTAGCAGTAGCAGTAGCAGTAGCGGTAGCCGTAGCCGTAGCCGTAGCAGTAGCAGTAGCAGTAGCATTAGCAGCAGCAGCAGGAAGAGGAGTAGTAGTAGTAGAAGAAGTAGGCAAGCAGGTAGTAGCCGTCTGTCGTGGTAAATAGTCAATTAGGCATTGTCATACTCGAAGTCGCAGTCATGGTAGCGGTTGAACAAGTAAGAATGTATAATGAACATAGCAACAAGGATGTAAAATTAAAGGCCTAATAGTCAGCACCACTAACAGAAACCTTGTCAACCAAAGTCATGACAGACTTTAAGCATGAGCCCCAAGAGTCACCTGGCTTGGCAGCGTTCGCGCGCGCATGGCCGCAATAAGCGCAGTCACAGATGCCTACAGCAGCGGCGAAGTGAAATGCAGCTTCTTCATTCTGAAGCTCGGTTTCAGACTGCTCTGTCCAGGATCCACAGTGGCTCTGGAATCTTCAGGGACTCCGCAACTCACAAGCAGATGGCCTGGTCCATGTCGCCCTTCGTTCGGTCGCTGGGCGCATAGCGCAGCTTACCTGCGCCCTGGCTCCCAGCCTTGGACTTGAGGCTTGGAATTGAAGAAAACGCCTAGGAATTAATTGATGGAGTGTAGTTAATGTGTTTATCTCATGCCTCGCAACTCCAAAACGACAACGCATCAGGTGAGCAACGAAGGCAATTGAAAATGCTCGGTGCAGGTGTGACTATTGCAGATCAGATGCCGCAACAGCTTTTTGCATCAGCATCCTCGCCTGTGTATAGGATCACCATGAGAATAGTTGCAAGTTCGCGTTCGGAGGCTCTTGACACCCCGGGGTTGGCCTGATGGCTTCTGCCCCACATGTCAGACACACAGCGTGAGAGGAAACCACTTTAGCTTTGCACGCCTGCTGCTGGGCCTTTGAATGCACCTAAAGCCCCAAGACGCCAAACCTTCATGATCAACTTGCCTGCGCAAGAAAGCCTTGCTCGGAGAGGACCACACTGACGCCTAGCAGTCAAGGACTGAACCGGCATTCTACCTGGTAAGTGCATCCAACCCATGCATCTCTATGGCTTAGCATGCACCTCGGTAAAGAAACTGTCCGACAAAGGCGGCGGCTGCCCAATTCATCGCGGCAGCAAAACAAAACTTCTGTGCCGCAAACGAGACGGAAGCCCTGCCTCGCTGATATTCAGTTTGAAAGGCATCAAAATCGAATGTCGCTTTTGATAAGGCGGCGGAGACCTTGGAACTGCTTGCTGCTTCCAACCCGCGAACTGCACTCAGCTGCAATCTGCGCTAGCCACACCCTCCGGTACGCCTACTTCATGTACCACACATACCAGAATGAGCCATACGTGCCTGAGGAAGTTTGCTTGGCAGCTTTTGCAGCCCCAGAAACCGCATCCTCCTCTGCGCGGCGCAGCTTCGCAACGAGCTGGGGGCGCAGAAGACCTCGATTCTGAATTTTCTCTGAATTCTCGTTGAATCCTAAGAGCAGGGCTTGCGAAGCGTGTGCGCATGACATTTAGCTTCTGCGGCTGCTACACATACTGCTCAGTGTCAAGTACACATAGCAGCTTCTGCATTGGCAGATGCGACTCGGTCTCAAGTGTCCATCGAAGGCACCGTTCTGCTCCCGCGCGCTCCGCCACGTCGTCCGCAGAAGGGACATAACACTTTCGCTTTGGTCCTTGGAGTTGCTTGATAGCATTTCCAAGACAGGCAATTCAGATGTACCCCTGGTTGCAATGCACGCCCTGTATCTTGACAACCTAGCAAAGGATGAGGGTTTCATCAGCGTCGCCAAGCCTACATGTCAGCACAACGGGTTCCGAGACTTCGAATCCGAGTCAAGCACCAGAGCCCTGTCCACGTATTCTGACCCTACTGCATTCAGGTTTCGCTGGGAACGCCTCTGAGATGGAACGGCCGCACCAGAAGACCCAATTTCGGATCCTTCACGCTGCCATCCTGGCTTTGACTGCTACACGTGTCAGGCATTAATCGAGGGCACCCCTCATTGCAGGCTTGACATGCAACAGTCGCTTTGAATCGCACAACCGCCAGTTCTAAGTGATAACTACATTGTCCGCAAGTGCCCCAGAAGCTTGTGCAGCAGGCACAGGTTTGATGTGGTTTGGTATGGACTGCTCTGGCCCTCGTCACTCAAACCTTTTCTCGAGGGCTACGGGCATGAATAAGTTTGTGCTTGCGCTGACAGCTGCGCCTTCAAGACGTATCCCCGCTGACCTGAGCCAAGTTCTTCTGCTCTGATTTTGATCGCTTCTGGGGCTGAGTAGGGACCTGTGGCATAAGTGGCTGTTGCTTGTTGTCAGCCAGGCCAAACAGTCATCACTGAATCGCACACCCAGGACAACGACGCAGCAGGCAGTTGACCCAAAATCCTGTTGCACTGCCCTGATTGCTCAAAGCACCCGGCGTTCGAGGCATACCCAATCTTCGTTCTCGGAACCCTCCAGCCTCAGGATGAGTGACCAAAATTTCAACCGCAGGAATTCTTTGTCTGCTTGGAACCTTGGGGCTGACAACCTGCCCCAAAAGAGGACCCACCGGGCCCCTCGATCGTGATCTCGCCAAGCCACTCTTCGAAGAGAAGCTCCTTTTCATGGCACAAGCTCTGCACCTCAGTGAGCATGCAGATACCAATCCTGCTAGTCCGGTCTAACGCAATCTTAACGTGAGGCTGCTGAGGGACCCCTGCGTCCACGTTTGGCTCCTTGCGCACAATGACACGTACGACGCATACCTGCCAGACAAGCGGTAGGGGAGACCCATGGGGCGAGTTGGCAAACAGGACTTGCGAGGACGCGTTCTAAACCAGCGTTCTCTGTCAGCCACGTTTGCTATCCAGCTTAGATGAATTGGATCGGTGTCATTTTCTGCAGTCAAGCCCAAAGCCGTGGTGCCCGACACTGCTCATGTAGTTCCAACTTCATCCATCACGGAAACCTCAACCCATCCAACGACTGTGGCTCAATAAACCGCGTGCGCAAAGCGACTCCTACCATTCCCCGCAGAATGCGGCACCCGCCTCCCAGACCCCTGGCCGCTGGTACTCTGGGCCTGGCCAAGACAGCCAAGACATCAGGCGGGCTTTCAGATCGAAAGCCGATTTCGCCTGGGACCAACTCTGGGAGGTCAGCCAAGTCGTCCTCAGAGCTGGGCACGTCACCTGAAATCAGCTTCAATATGTTAAGAGTCATGCATTCCTATCACGAATCCCTAACCTCAGTTGTTTTTTGACGCACTTGCCTGGCCAGATCTCTGACAGCGCATCCAGACCATCGAAAGCCTGGCGTAGCGATCACAGAGAGTGGGCCGGAGTCTCGGTGATTGTCTGAAATCAGTTTCGCATATTCTGGAATACTGGACTCTGAGATGGCTATGCGATGGTGGAGCCGTGAGCAAGGCTCCACTTGTAGCCAAATTCATTGCTTCGGATCTGACAGACCCTGGCGGAAATGACAACCCCTACACAAGCATCCCATCCTTGCCTCATCCAGGTCGGTCAGCTCGTCTGATGCATCGCCTCGGATCGAACGATAAAGCGGCATACGTGGCATACTTGCCATGAAACGGATCCTGATCCGCAGTGACATTGTCACACGGGCAGCAGTGGCTCAGGGGTACGTGCGAACTGGTTGCAATCAAAATCCTAGTTCCAGCAAGGGGTCAGGGGACGGTGATTTTCATATGCGCATACAGGTGTCTGGCGTCAGGGACCTTCACGTGCTTGCCTGTTCTACGCCATGTCAGAAAGGGCCCTACACAGACGCCTGTTCTTTTCAGAGGTGCTTACATGTTCCACATTTTGGGGGAGGGTAGAACTTACACCCAACACCCCCAGACCCTCAGCCGCTCAACCCCGAGCCCAAAATCCCCACCACCCTCCTCCACAAAAATCCTATTTTCTCCCATCTCGGAGAAAGCCAGGCTCCGCACTTTCCAGAGGCTCTTCCTCCTGTTTCGGATCCTCACTCTGCTTTGCTCTGTGGCAGCTTCCATTCGTCAGGTCGATCTTCGCATAAGCCTTGTGCAGGGATTGAAGCTTCTGGAACTCAAGCCTCAATGCCGAATCAGCACAAAAGGATGACCTAACACTGCCATTCATGTCTAGCGAAGCCACTGGGGAACCTAAATTCTGCACGCGTTCAGTTGTTGGATGCCGGAGGTCCACCTTCTCCAGCTCGTCGAAGTCGAAGATGGTACTGGTGGCGGCCGTGTCGACGGTCATGGCGGCCAGCGCCACATGAGGGCACGCTGTGCTTCGCTCAAGCAGGGTCGGGCTATGTTGGGCTTGGCTTCTGGATGTCAGCATGGGGCTGCGGGATGCTGCGGGCCCACAGGGGGTTCAGACGATCGGGTGGAGAGTTACGTAGTCAGGTGGCTCAATGCTGTGGCAGTGGGCAGGGTTCGGTTATGTTCAGTGATGGATCCAGGTTGTGCTTGTTTCGCCCTACGCGCTCCACTCCGGAGTGCTATAGTGCTGCCAGGGCAGGAAGAGCGTAGGCTCAGCAGGAGCACAAACCACATGTCATGCTGATACACGGATCTTTGCAGTGCGAACCCGATAAAGGGCCTTGTGGGAGTGGCCACAGAACATCATCAGCAAATGCGTCAGATCAAGTGCCAGCACACTGTGAAGCCTAGTTACATCCCAGAAAAGAGTTGAAGGTGTTCGCCTCCTTCGCAGGCGAAGCTGAAGAGCCAGAAAATCCCACGACTTTCAAACCCTTCAAGGCTACCCTGGGTTTTGCCGAATCCCCAGGCCCAGGAAATAAAAAGCTTCTGGGCTAAGAACCACAATCTTTCAAGGTAAACGACGTCCGGCTGCGACTGCAGCAGCCAAAATCTGAACAACGGCGTCTGGGGCAACAGCTCATCAGCAAACCAATCATCGCGGGAGACGCCCTAGGACAGGGCATGTTTCTTTGCGCTGGTGATACTTGCTTTGTGCATGGAGCGTGTTTCAGGTCTTTTTGTTGACCAGGAACACTAGGCTAGGATCACACGCTTTGTACCCGTTCTGCTTCCCTTTCTGTGTCTTCTTCCCCCATTCGCAAAGTTGAACAAGTCTTGACGTAACGGTGTCAGGGGTCCCTCAAGTTTGCGAGGAATACATTTCGCAGGGAGCCCAAGAGCTTGCAAGGGGTATCTTGCAGTTAATGATGCTTTGTATGACTGCTGACTTGTGAGTAATGTGATGTGTTGTGAAGCTATGACACCTGCATCTGCCTGTCTGACGCAGGAAGCTTGAGCTTAGTCTTGACTTTAAGCACACAAATCTAGATTTGATATGTGATGCTAGGTTGAGAGTCAAGCGACATCAGGCCTGCAATCAGCTGAAAAGAATACGATACACAAGCCCTTTGGAGCCTCCTTCTTCGGGCGAACTTCTTCGCCCTTCTCTTTCTTGGCCTCTTCGTCGGCCCACATGGTTCGCACCTTCACCATAGAGGGCATCCATGGTGTCAGAAGCAGGCGGTTATCAGAGACAACAAAATAACAAACCTTATCAGTAACTAGCACATCATACCTACTCGTCAAGGAACCTACCTCAGACATTCGATCAGGCATTGCAATCTAGTCTAGCCCGTGAGGATGAAAAATTGCCGCTGACAACTGCTATGGCCTTGTCCATGAATGTCGCATATTCTCGGTTGGTCTCTTCGTTAGGCACCTGCATCCGGTATTCAACCGGAATCTCCTGCGCACGACAATCAGCAGAGCATCGGCTTAAGTGGGTTGCTTCAAGCCTTCCCATCTGTGATGGCTAAGCAACCATGAATTGCCTGCTGTCCGGAAAAGTCGCGTCAGGTTGTTGGAAGGAGCTGTGCTCTTGCTGCACACCACTCGTGTCTACACACGTCTTACAAGCAAATCCAGCGACGGCAACCTGTAGCAAAGCACCGACACTTCCAGTCCGACAAGCAGGAACTCAATCGAACCAGTCAATCTCACAACAGCTCCTCAAGTTGGCGCCGGCTGTTCTGCAACATGTGGTCCGGCAACTGCGCAGGGGGCAAGCTGAAATTCTCTGGATGCAAAACCATCTCAGAGCAGCATATCCAACGGATGGAGGATGATTGCCGGAACAAGACTGCTGCTCCAGAAAAATAGGAGGGACAAGCCCGGGTATGGTAGTTGCTGCCGTAGTCTTACATGCCATGCCAATGATGAACGCCGCCCTTTGTGAAATCGAAACTTGAGACGCAACGGGGATGGATGTACATACAATGGAAGTCTTAACGGGCCACGTCTTTCAGTCGCTGGGTGGCCAAACTGTGAAAGCATGCAGCAACAAGAAGTCCGAGACCTATGCAAGACTATGCGAGCTGGACAGGCTTCTAAAACGGCATCAAGGATCTGGGCAATCAAGACTATGCAAGAAATGTAAAATCACTGGTGTCACTCATCTCTGTAATTTGGCTGCTCATGATTGGCAACTCGCTTCCTGCAAAAAGAATTATAAGAGCAATCCAACTTCCAAGAAACAACACAACAAAAAAGAACTTGCAACAAACCATCGCCAACTCCACCGGCAGCGCAGCAGCTCCAACAGCATCGGACAATGCTGATGCGGTGATGATTGCAAATGCCTGGAAGTTGGCAAGCTCAGGCATCTTCGGAAGAAGATCGCGCCATTCCTGCCAAAGGTTCCCAAAGCAACTCTTCTGTGCTGGCCCCTGGGTCTGGAATCTGCGAGTCAATGTCTGGGTTTGATTAGAGACAGGAAGGCTGTCATTAATCACGCAGTATTGGATGTCCTCCTCATCACCGACGTCAATGGTGTACCTTATGGTTAAAAGACTTGCCGCTAACTGAAGCTCAGGTCTCTATGAAGTCTGTTGCAGATCTCGACTCGCAGGAAAGGATTTGCAGTCCAAAGCTACAAAGCTGGAAAGCCAATGCCGCGACCCCAAAAGGAGCTAAGGTCAGCACTCCACACCCCAGTCTTTCACCTACAGGTCAAGAGTTGAGCAAGGTCGGCCCTTGAAGCTTCGGGCCAGGCCCCGCAAGGCCTGTCGGTTGAAGCGGATCGTGGGATCTGTGTAAAGCTCAGGGATCGTCGCCTCAAAGTACCTGGAAAACCGGCTTTAACACAGCACCATCCACACATGCCAGTGTCCGCAGTGAAACAGACCTATCATTGAGTCATTGTGCGCTTCAACTGCAACAGGTCCTAGCCTGATGTGCACTGCTTACGATGCAAACCTCGAAACGCCCCAGTTGAAGCGACTGATGACACATCTCTTGGGCAGCTAAGAAGACACCGCCAGCTGTGTAGCCTACCTGCTGGCCTTCTCGCTGGATGCAAACTCGAGGTTTCCCAAGCATCGCGCATGTGCCACGAAGACGTATTGGCACGTCCCCCTTTTCGAATGCTTAGGCATAATTAAGTTGACGACACCAGCTGCGAGTGTTTCACAGCGGCAACGATTGAAAAAGTTTGATGCTAGATACCCAGCTGAACACGATCACTATCTTGGGGCCATTCTTGGTTGCTTAAGCTTGGAAATCATGACAGCTGGACATCCTGTGGGATTAGGGCTTGTAGCCCTCATCCCGAACAGTGCTTCTGGGAATCTTCTCCCAGCGAGTGCTGAAGCTATGACAGCTTCAAAGCCTGTGGCTAATCTTGAAGCAATGGGCCCTCTCAGCGGGACTGCAGGATCCGTGCATTCGGCACCTGAAGAATGGGTTTGCCGCCTACACCTTTCGTTTCAACATGTTTCAACCAGAGCCAAGATATGATTTCATGTGCAAAGTGTGGCCTCCTCAACATGCTTGCCGTCGGAGAGTACCGGGATCCGAGGCGTGGCAGACTCTGCAGAAGGCCTCACAGTATTCAGTGCAGCTTCGTCACCTGGCAGTCTCCCTTCCACATTAGCTTTGGTAGGAATGCTTGGCACCAGGCTCCACTAGGTAGCCCAAGCAAAAATCCCTGCCCACCTGCGAGCTGCTCAGATCTGGCAGATCATGTCTTATCAAGGACTCAAGGACCCACAAATCCAGAAAGGCCTCCGCCATGGTTTTCTCCACAATAGCCTTCCACCCCCGCCGCTGGACCATGCCTGTCAACAGCCGACAGAGCAGTGCGATGGCCTGATTCTGAGAGCAAAATCTGCCAGCAGTCACATTTTCTTCGCTTCACAGACATTTCGCAGCACGAGAAGGTGCTTGACGCAAAACCCTGCTTTCAACAGATCCTTAAGCCTTCAATTGTTCGCTTGCACAAGCCAAGCGGCCACAAGGCCCTGGAGGCCTAAACTTGGACCGGCACATGATCCTATGCATCCCAGCAGAAGCCTCGAGCAGAGCGCGCGACCAAAGCAGTGAGGATACGGTTGGACCTTCGCTCCACAACAGCTTGCCGCCGAGAGCAAAGAACGAAGCAGCTTTACATTTCCAAGGGAATCTACTGCACCGAGTCCTGACTATGGGGAGAAAATACTTCACACTTAGGGCTGGAACACCTTCTGGCTTAGACTGGGGCGTCAAGGGGCACGGCTCAATTAAATTAATGGCAAGACCCGGGATCCACATGCAGGCAGCCCCCAGGGCCACGGCAGTCTGCTGCCCACCACAGTCCTGGAGCGGCGCACTGCACCAACCTGGCAGATGCCCAGTCCATGTGGGGGGGGGGGGTTCAGTGCTGACACACCTTGGATATCACTGTGGAAAACACTGCATCCAATGCTTCTTACCTTGTGGATGCTGCGGAAAAATTGAACAAACCGCTGTCAGTCGCCCGACATCGCCAGACCAGGAAATGATACTTTTGCCAACTTCGCCAGCCCGGCAAGGGTACCAGCGATCCCCTTCAGAGGCACCGACTGAAGCAGCACCCAACTGTCCTCCAAGACATCAAAACTTGTTGAGGGAAAAGGACCGTTCACGCCTGTTTTCATTCACTGCATGCCTAGGACGAGCTTGTTTGACTACTCTCAGATCCTCGTCGTCCCAGCGCCTTAGTCTTGCAGATGGGGAGAGGAAGGCTGGGCCTCTGCGCCTACAGGATGAGCCCGGGTAAGGTCAGGGCCCATAGAATCGGAGCACAACCTTGGCCTTTGGGTTGCTTGGCAGTTCCTCCAAAACGTGCACAAATCTCCAATGCCAGCACAGCCCTTCCCTAGACCAAGAGCTGCAAATGCTGCAACGGAGTCCTTGGGGCTCGGGGTAGTCTTGGACTTCTTCTTCTTCCTTGGCGCATGTCAGGCTCAAGGCCAGAAA